CAGGAGAATACAGGAGAATACAGGAGAATACAGGACAATACAGGAGAACACAAGAGAATACAATAGAATACAAGAGAATACAAGAGAATACAAGAGAATACAGGAGAATTCAGGAGAATGCAGGAGAATACAGGAGAATACAGGAGAATACTGGAGAATTCAGGAGAATTCAGGAGAATACAGGAGAATACAGGAGAATACAAGAGATTACAGGAAAATACAGGAGAATACAGGAGAATACAGGAGAATACAGAAGAATACAGGAGAATACAGGAGAATACAGGAAAATGCAGGAGAATACAGGAGAATACAGGAGAATACAGGGGAATACAGGGGAAAATAGGAAAATGCAGGAGAATACAGGAGAATACAGGAGAATACAGGAGAATACAGGAGAATACAGGAGAATACAGGAGAATACAGCAGAATACAGGAGAATACAGGAGAATACAGTGGAATATAGGAAAATGCAGGAGAATACAGGAGAATACAGGAGAATTAAGGAGAATACAGTTTCTTTTATACGCAATTATGATTTGGCGAGGTCGTATCTAGTTTTAATTTCATAACCTTTGCATATCAGGGTATCATAAACATTCTTTACCCCCGGTAAAAGCTCTTACAAAAAAACTAAATTTTAAACCAAAATCAAATAAACTTAAGTTTAATGTCCTTTCGCTTTGTCTGTTAAACCCTTTGAGTGTAACAGGATTTACATCTAAAAGCCTTGCGAGCGAAATAGAAGAAATATGCACTCAACTCAACTAAACTATTGAAACGAAACTAGATCCAGATTCAAAGGATCAAATTTGAATCTAGGTTTCTTCGCACATTTTAAAAGTAGAATATAAACACGGATGGATATATATGCAGGGGTTTCTATAATTGAAATATATGCAAGGGTTTCTATAATTAAAATATATGCAAGGGTCTCTATAATTGAAATATATGCAGGGGTTTCAGGTTTCTTTAATTGAAATATATGCAGGGGTTTGTATAATTGAAATTTATGCAGGGGTATCCATAATTGAAATATATGCAGGGGTTTCTATAATTGAAATATATGCAGGGGTATCCATAATTGAAATATATGCAGGGGTTTCTATAATTGAAATATATGCAGGGGTTTCAATATTTAAAACATAAGCAGGGGTTTCAATAAATGAAATATATGCAGGGGTTTCTATAATTGAAATATATGCAGGGGTTTCAATAATTGAAATATATGCTTCCGCTTAGGTAGGGGTTTCAATTCTTGAAAGGTAGGGTTTTCAATACTTGAAATATATACAGTATACACTGATACAGTGGTTTTAATAATTGAATAAAATAGCTTAATTAGTTAAATATTATACAATCAAGGGTTTCATCATTCATAAATTAAAAGAAAGAAATAGTACAGAACAGAAATGCTTAATTATCCGTTGCATTACCATCCAGGTATTACATTCTAGTTAAAAAACAATTCGGTTAAAAAAAAATTTTGTGTATTTTTTCCTGTCTGAGTTCATGAAAGTAGAAATATGTGTTGATATGATTTGTGGATAAATTATGAAATGTTCCTCTAAATAATGGAGGTGCAGTGATTTCCTGTTTTAAAATTAACACCAACCCATCTCCCCTCCCCCCTACCCCCGCTCTACTTGTTAAACCAACTCATAGCTATAATTTATATTTATTGTTTGGTCTGGCCTGTATTTTGTCTGGGTAGCAACATAAAAGTGTCTATAGAATATTCTAGAAAAGATGATGAAATGTTCTCTACTCTACGTATAGGGTTAAGGTCTAACGGTGAAACACCGTCTGCTGACCTTAGTTTAAAGTAGTTTAGTTCTTTCACCCCAGGCCAGGCCCCAGCTCAGTTAAACAAGTGAAACTGGAGAGAGAGGTTGTAAAGTAGAAACATTCTAATTCAGGCTTTCATCCATTCATCCAATTCAGTTCAATATGACAGTTTACGATGAAAATTTACAGGTATTTTTATATTATTATTACCCCGAGGATATATACATTACTTAAATCACCAGGAATATAAATTTTCTTGAAAACAATTGTCCTCAGAAATTCTTTTCCTCCATTTTGTATGAGGTTTAATAAATCTGGCTTCTTTCTTTCAAAGAGAGAAAAAAACTTTAAAAAGGTTTTCCTCGCTTATCTTTCGTGCTGTACGATATATGTTGAACCTTGAACGTGTTAAATCATCTAATTTCATGCATGTTGTTTCGTCGCAATCCTTACACCATGTGGTGTTTACAGATAGAATAGAATGCTTATAGATAAAACATTTTACGATAACAATTTAATGATTCATAAAATGTGTTTATTATTTCAGGTATTATGATGATAAAAAAAACACCTGTTGCATCAGCTAGTTAACGTATTGAAAGTATAAAGTTTAAATTATGCAACTTAAAAGTAAAGAAGAATATAATTATTCATTAAAATGGGAAGATAAATTAAAAAAGTGTGGAATAAGGGTTAATTTCGGTTCAATTGCAAATATAATAGTCTTTTTTAAATTGTAGTATCTCTTAACACAGGAGAATACAGGAGAATACAGGAGAATACAGGAGAATACAGGAGAATACAGGAGAATACAGGAGAAATCAATATTATTTTTGTTCCGATTATCATTGTCTAATTATAATGTGATTAGAATAATATTAATATGATTAGAAAACTATTTTTATAATTTTCTTTATGTTATCTTCAGTGCAGAAGGCCAAATTAAGCATGCGTTATTTTAATGCTCTTTTCAGTCTGACTTCAAACAATCTTTTTAGAGGGGGGGGGAAGTGTTTAATAAATATAATATAATTTTATTACTATATGTTTGTACACTGTTATATGCTAACCTATAAAGATCAATGATCTGACTGCCGGTCGGTCTAATTTTACCTGTATTGATAGACCTAAATATAGTTAGTTACAGAGATACTCTGAATACGAATGGTCGTGTTGATTATTAATACTTTTTCGTATATTATTGTGAGAGGAGCTCCGTGGCCCCAAAGTCGTATCAGTGCAGAATTGTCGCATTAATTTAACCTTCCACTTCTGTCTACATGAATTTATGGTATATTTTAGATTAACAAAATGATTATCCATGTTCTTGTAGTCCGGACCTACTGACCGGTGAATTTTTTATAATATCTTATTAATGTATTTATGTAATTGTATTCAGGAGGTGATGGGTGAGATGTCCCTGTCAAAGGTTGAGAAGCAGACCTTCACTAGGATCAGGGTCGAGGTCATTGACCAGGTGGTCGAGGTCATGAAGGAGGATAGAGACTTCAGGAACAAATTCTTTTATAATAATTTTAACAGTTTCAAAGCAGTTTAATCCTTGTTTACACAAAATCTTGGTTTATTTTTTCTCTTTTCTTTTTCAAGTCTGATCTGAATTATTCAGGTATATTTTAGAAATTAAAATTACTAAAAAATGAATCCTTAAAGAAAGAAAACGAGTCCAATTTGTTTGGTTACCAGTTACCACACTTATAATAATAAGTAAATAAATGAGAAGTATAAGGATGAATGAATGAATATGTTTACTATTAGTGAGATGTTTAAGAAGATTCACTATGGAGGAAGTCAGTATGAGAAGCTGAAGACCGGAAGGAAGCAAGAGTGTGACCTCAACCTTGTGTTCCGTACTCCCGAGGATATCAGGTATCTTCCCTTTAAATGCTGTGGTATGGGGTGTAAAGTTTTAGGATATTTCCTCTCCCCCCCCCCCCACCCACCTCCTCATGCACTAGGGAGATTATATTAGGGAAACATCAAATATTTAGATTTTGTTAGGGAAACATCAAATATGTAGATTTTGTTAGGGAAATATCAGATATGTAGATTTTGTTAGGGAAACATCAAATATGTAGATTTTTTTAGGGAAATATCAAATATGTAGATTTTTTTAGGGAAATATCAAATATGTAGATTTTATTAGGGAAATATCAAATATTTAGATTTTATTAGGGAAACATCAACTGTGTAGAATTTATTACAGGGAAATATCAAATATTTAGATTTTGTTAGTGCAATATCAAATATGTAGATTTTGTTAAGGAAACATCAAATATGTAGATTTTGTTAGGTAAATATCAAATATGTAGATTTAAATAGGGAATTATCAAAGACGTAGATTGTGTTAGGGAATTATCAAATATGTAGATTTTGTTAGGGAAACATCAAATATGTAGATTTTGTTAGGGAAATATCAAATACATAGATTTTGTTAGGTAAATATCAAATATGTAGATTTAAATAGGGAATTATCAAAGACGTAGATTGTGTTAGGGAATTATCAAATATGTAGATTTTGTTAAGGAAATATATCAAATATGTGCGTAAGTACACAAGATTTTGTTAGGGAAATATCAAATATGTAGATTTTGTTAAGGAAATATATCAAATATGTAGATTTTGACGGTATTTCCTCAAACATATAAAGGGATGTTAAAAAGTATGTTTCTTCCAAATAAAAATCAGGAATTTGTTAAGTGTTTCCTTAAGAAAAAATCAGTAATGGAATTGAGTATCTGTTACAACCCCTGAATTTGTAATCCCTATATCTATACAATCCAATGTTGTAGACCTTAGATATTTCAAACTATGAATTCTGTCAGATAAAATACTGAATACCGAATCCATAATTATACCTTCTTTATAATTTATCAGGATTACTAAAAGAGAAGACAAGAAGCCTCACTTCATGAGATTAGAAACCTCAGATCCGTCCTTTCAAAGAATCAAGAGAAGCAAGAACATTCTCAACCCTGTAGATGCCTTTCAGGTTAACAAAATCTAAGTTTAAGTCAAAAATGAATTAGTTTTATTTTTCTGAGGGAAATACCAGAACTCTCTGTTTTTACTAAATTCAAAACATTTATATAATAATTAGAACAAAAATAATATTATTTATCATATCAATAAAGTTCATCTTGTGTTAAAATAGTCTTATTACAATGAATAAATATCTTTTAGTTTTGGTTTAAATTACTTTTAAATAAAAACTAAAAAATTTAAAAAAGCTTTATTGTGTTTAAAAAATAAATGATTTTAGTTTTCTAATCCTGAACATAATATCTAAGTATAAATTTGGCTTGTCTGTCTGTTTGGGTGTCTGTTTGTTTGTTTGTATCCAATAAACGTCAAAACGGCTGAACCGATCGGGCCCAAATTTGTTGTGGGACATCACGTGACCACAGGGAAGATTTATGAATGAGAAAAATTTTAAAAAATGTGTTTTAAAGGTTTTTAATTTTGTAAAAAAATTTAAATTCTTGAAAATCCGAGATTTTTTTTTTAAATCCGCAAAAAAAAAATTTTCTTTGTTTTAAAATGTAAACAAAAAGAACGTGTTCACAATTCAAATAGAAGATGGGCGCGAAGCGCCTTAAAAGCCTAGTAAGCATGAATTATGCTTCTCATTTTATTATTTTAAATGTGAAAGTGAACTAGTTTCAAAATTAAAATTAATTTACTCCAGGTCCTCCAGAGAGCAGCAGACCGGGCTCTAGCTAAGCTTGAAAACCATGTCTTGCTAGATGATGGACAAGTGGTTGAAGTAACCAGATCTATAAACAATCCTTACACCCTCAACATTACTCCAACCTGGGGAGGAATATGTACGGATAGAATGGAGATAGATATGGTTCCAGCATTCGAGATTCCGATTAGTATCCTTCCAGATGCAACCAGGAACAGGGTTCTCCAGGTCCAGGAGAGGGTTGGGATTGTCGAGGAGAAATGTTTAGCGGTCGCTTTACCAGTTGTAAACAAGGAACTATTCCAGGTAACAAAGAATAAGTCTTGTTTCTGAAAAGGTTTATTGAAGGAGCTGTAACAAATTGTAATTTTCCAATCTGCACTTTGCTACATTTGTCGTAGAACCTAGACTTTTGAAACTTGTTGGGTCAAATAAACTAATTTTGACTTAAGGTTTACACCATAAAGTTACAAAGAAAAATTATTAGAAAAAATATTTTTTTTTGGCTCAATTTTTTATCGGATTTCGCTTTTCAATTATTCTTTTAAGACTTATATATAATCCTAGATAGCCACACATCATATTTGTTGAGTAAATCTTGGTACCCATATATATATATATAATCCTAGATAGCCACACATCATATTTGTTGAGTACATCTTGCAGAATTGTATATTTATTCTAGATTGATTTCCCTCAAATGGCTCGGAAAATGATGGCAGGGAAACCGAGCCTAAAAGCTTCAATTCGTCTGCTGAAGCATGAGAGGGATATAAAGGGTGGTCCGTTCGCCAAGATTTGGTCCTACGCGATCAAGAATGCCGGCCTTTGGGAGGTCTTCAAGTTCCCAGACGAGAGCTACTGGGCTCCCTGTAATCTGGAGAACCGATATTTTGATGTTCGGGATGCGCTCGCGGATTATCTGGAGGATGATAAACTCCCGGATTTATTCTTCCCGGATCTGAATATAATGAATAGGATCTGTAGCATCAAGGTGAAGACGGATACAGGGAAGTATCTGAGAAGAACCAACCCTGATGACATAGAGAAAAGATATCCATGTGAAGAGAATAAATGCCGAAAAATCTTCTCTACTGTTAACGGAAGTCTAGATCATGCTAAAGCTGTGCACGGTAAGTGATTTGAAAATTGTTAAAAAAATATATTTAACTACTGTGTTTAGGTCAGGATGGGAAGAAAAAGCAGAAGAATAAAAGGAAGGGGAGGAAGGCGATAATGGACAGGGAGGAGAACGAGGAGAGGGTTCTCCAGTGCCCTCTGAATATCTGTGAGAGAAAGTTCTTCAACAGTCACGGAGCTGCACAACATGCCGTGGATTCTCACAGGTTTAACACAATTGTATTCAGAACATCAAAATCTAGAAAATCCATTAAGCACAATTGGCAAGGATCAGATTGGCTTTGGGTAGCTCTGTTTATTTTCTTTTATGTTTTAGTAAAGTAATTAATTCTTTGTCACTAACATGTTCTAATCCCTATATCTGATATCAAAGCATATCCAGCATGTTTCAAAGATATAGGGATTAGAAAATCAGAGTTTGTGACAAAGACTCAATTTCTTTGTAATTATTAAATATATATTACGCATTGCATAAATTACAAGTTTATAAGTAAATATACAATTCATCCACCAAGGGAATGGAATTCTTAATGCACAACCAAATTGCAGTGCATATAATGTTTGGCTCATTTAGTTCGACCGTGATATGTTTGAATTTGTATCATACAAACGTACACATTACAAGACTGATGAACTGAAAACTTGTCACAAACTCTAATTTTCTAATCCTTATATCAGTGCAACCTGATATCGTAGACCTTTGATATTTCAAATAACTGCGTTTGAAATTTATAAGGTTTACACCATCAGGTTGCAAATAAATGAGGATTCATGAAAATTAGATTTTTCAACAAGATAACAACTTATATTCATGAAAAATTAGCTAGGGAACCATAGAGAATAGAATTTATAGAGAGGAATTAAAAGAATCTCTCGGTATGAATATTTTCAGTCCCTTTCAGCCTGAAAGGGAGTTCAAAGTGTACAAATCATGTAAATTTTCACAAATTATATGCAGTAGAGTACATTAATACAGTATGTTCCCTAGACTATTCATTTCAATTTCGAAATTTTTAAAGCTGTTAAAAAAACTTTATAATGAATTAGGTGAATAAAAACATCATTTGATTTATAGTTATAACGGAAAATCATCGTTTGTAAAGTGGAAGGCATAGAGTCTATGTGAAATGATCATTAATCAATTATGAAACCAGCCTATTTCATAATTTGGTTTTCTTTTAACAATAATTTTAGATTTTCTATAAAATGATATTCCAGGGCCCAACAGGTTATATAGCATAAATATGTGAAGTACACCTGCAGTATGGAAACAGTACAACAAAATGGCCGTTTTACACTTTTTTCTAGTAAATTCCTCTCTATATTATATTCTATTCTCTATGTAGGGAACCCAGCTTTCCTTGTAATCTATGTTTTTTCTATAATTCAACCCACCCATAGATCTTTTTAAACTAAGAACATTCTCGGGGTCCCCTTAAAAAATTTGATGTTAATATGTCAAGGGGTTCCTGAGTTATGACAAACACAAACAGGCAAAGGTTCCTACTTTATATATATAGATAATATACTGATATTAATGTAAGGGTTGAGGCGGACCGAGATAAAGTATGGCCGAAGTATCTAAGGTCGAAAGGATTGATACCCTGCGGATTTTGCGTCTGCGGCGGAGGAAAAGTTAGAGGGTTCGGAGACCAAACTGCGTATGCACAACATTGTTCAGCTAGGATGCATTAGATGTACAGTATGTAGACATCTATGATCATGCATTAAACTTCTATGATGCGTTAAATGTACATTAGCCATTTAATGTTCTTTGTTTTTATGCACAGGTTTTTGATGTACACTTTGATTTTTAGGTTTACTTTTATAATTATCATAAATTTTGCAGTAATGATTCATCTACTAGTTTTACAGCTATATACACTGTACAGTTTGATTATTGATTTATTTTCATGCGCCATCTTTGCAGCAATGTACACTTGTATATAGCTTCGTAATGTACAGTTTGATTTTTTGATTTATTTGTATGCCACCATTTTTACAGCAATGTAATTGTACATACAGTTACTAACAATAATCATATTTTTTCTTGCAAATAACAACATATATGTAATTTTATTTTGTGTGATTTTTCAAAATAAATCTTATCTTGATAACAACTATTTGATTTATTGAAATATATCATATCATAATGAATGTGATGAATTAAATATTTATCTTATCTTATATGAGCACTCGTCAAAATATTTGAAAATATTAAACTGCAAAAAGATATATAAACATTTGTATACTTGTAATGATTACCGCTATATTCTATTGATTACTATTACAGACATACATCTTCGGGGTTTCGAGATCAATCATTTGCTCCCTCAGAGAAAGGGCGTGTACAAATGTCTTTCTCTTGGTCCCGGTATAACTTCGTTTCTTAAATCCCAATAATGTTCTCTCTCATATGTTAAGATATATCTTGCAATGTATGAATGAATGGGATTTAATAGCTTTTCAGTTTATTGATCTAGATACATCTGTTTATGTTTATTCTTGTTAAATCAGGTTCCTATGGTATCCTCGGAATTGTGGTTCGTCTGTTCCAGTTCAGTGTCTGTCTGAGCAGCTACCTCAACTTCAATATATTGTTTTCGCTGCTCTAGTTCTGTATCTATCTCGGCAGCTTCCCCAACTCGATATCTTGTTTAGCTGCTACAGTCCAGTACCTCTTACACTGCAATGTTAGCAGCTACTCTTTCTTTATTACTGAAGCTGTTCCTAGATACTCTGATATGTTAGCTGTTCATTACCGGAACTGCTAGGCTCCTAGAGTCTCTGCTATGTCAGCTGTTTGTTGCTAAAGCTACTCCTAGAGTTGCTTGGTTCCTCAGCTGCTTCTACAACAGGCCTGTACAGAGCTGTCTGTAGTGAGCAGCATCTCCTGTATCAAGATCATCTTGTTCCTCTTTAGTAGATACGTGGAGAGCTATTTGTTAAGATCGGCGTCCCCAGTATCAGGTTTTGCTTCTGCTCCTGGAGTTCTAAGTCTGACTTGATCTTCTAGCTGCTCCAGATATATTAAGAGCTGTCTGTAAAGAGCAGTGTCCCCTGTATCAGGTTTAGCTTCTGCTCCTGGAGTCCTAAGTCTGACTAGAACTTCTAGCTGCTCCAGATATATGAAGAGCTGTCTGTAAAGAGCAGCGTCCCCAGTATCAGGTTCAGCTTTTGCTCCTGGAGTCCTGAGTCTGACTAGATCTTCTAGCTGCTCCAGATAAATGAAGAGCTGTCTGTAAAGATCAGCGTCTCCAGTATCAGGTTTGGGCAGCATCTGATATCTTGAATATCCTAGCTTTTTTTTTAAACTCCAGTATATTTTTTCTCAAATACATCCAAATCGTGTTCTGAAACCCTTTCAGCCCCTTGTTTCAAAAATTAGATGCTAGATTTTGAGGACTATCTTTATTTTCCAAGAGAGAGGAGTGCCTTTTATCCATAACCTTTTATACATGGCCCACCACAGTTGAGCTTCTCTGAATCCTACATCTAAATCCTTGTCGACATCCTTCTGCCTTTTTCCTCATCTCACTAACCCATCCTCGGACATCAATACTCGGGACACTGTATAAGTACATTTTTATCAGGGTTGCTGTGTACAACGTACCTTGGATAGTTTATTTTAATGTGTTTGCATAAATATCATTTAGTAAACTAGGAAGTTATGTTTAAATTTTCATTAGCCAAAATTCATTTTCTAAAAACATTGGGGGCCAAATTCAACCCGCCAACCTTTCTGATCCACCCAATAGAAATGTTCTAAATCATTCCTAATCATGGTTAAAAATTCTTCAGCGTCGTTTCACATTGAAACATTGAAAAAAGGAGACTTTCGTTCTGCTTAAATCTGAGCTTTATTATTGAGTAAACTATAATTTCACACTTATCTAAAAGTCTAGGAAATAAAATATATGTAAGAGCACCATGAATTTAATATTATCAAGTTACTTCATCTTATCTATAGTTACTTTATCTTATCTATAGTTACTTTATCTTATCTATAGTTACTTTACCTTATCTATAGTTTCTTCATTTTATCAATAGTTACTTAATTTTATTTATAGCTACTTCATCTTATCAATAGATACTTCATCTTATCTGTAGATACTTAATCTTATCTATAGTTATTTCATCTTATCTATAGTTACTTTATCGTATCTATAGTTACTTCATCTTATCTTTAGTTACTTTATCTTATCTATAGTTACTTCATCTTATCTATAGTTACTTCAACTTTTCTATACATCCTTCATCTTATTAAATTTTTTTTATTTTATTAAATAACTTAATCTTTTTAAATTACTTCATCTTATCTCATTACTTCATAATAATACATTTCTTCAGCTTATTGAATTTCTTCATCTTATCAAATTACTTCATCTTATTAAATTACTTCGTTTTATTAAATTACTTCATCTGACTAAATTACTTAATTTTATGAAATTATTTCATTCTATTATATTACAGTATCTTATTAAATTACTTCATTCTATTAAATTACTTCATCTTTTTAAATTGCTTTATCTAATTAAATTTCTTTATTTAATCTAATTACTTAATCTTATCTATAGTTACTTCATCTTATCTATAGTTACTTCATCTTATCTATAGTTACTTCATCTTATCTATAGTTACTTCATCTTATTAAATTATTTATCTTATTACAAAACTTCATCATAATAAATTACTTTATCTTATTAAATTACTTCATCTTATTACAATTATACTTCATCTAATTATATTTATCTTATCACATTTATACTTCATATTATCACATTTATACCTGATCTTTACATTACTTAATCTTATTACCTTTATACTTCATCTGTACATTACTTAATCTTATTACCTTTGTACTTCATCTGTACATTACTTAATATTATTACCTTTATACTTCATCTGTACATTACTTTATCTTATTACCTTTATACTTCATCTTATTACATTTCTCGATCTTATTACCTTTATACTTCATCTGTACATTACTTAATCTTCTACCTTTATACTTCATCTGCACATTACGTAATCTTATTACCTTTATACTTCATCTTATTACATAACTTAATCTTATTACCTTTATACTTCATCTGTACTTAACTTAACCTTATACCTTTATACTTCATCTGTACATTACTTAATCTTATACCTTTATACTTCATCTGTACATTACTTAATCTTATTACCTTTATACTTCATCTTATTACATTACTTTATCTTATTAAATTCATACTTCATCTTATTAAATTACTTTATCTTATTACCTTTATACTTCATCTTATGACATTACTTCATCTAATTTCATTTCTTTATGTTTATACATTTATACTATACTTCATCTTATTACATTGCATAATCTTATTACCTTTATACTTCATCTTATTACATTACTTCATCTTATTACATTACTTCATCTTATTACACTACTTCATCTTATTACATATCTTTATGTTTTTACATTTATACTTCATCTTATTACATTACTTAATCGTATTACCTTTATACTTCATCTTATTACATTACTTCATCTTATTACCTTTATACTTCATCTTATTACATTACTTCAGCATATTGCATTACTTCATCTTATTAAATTACTTCATCTTTTTTAGTTAAATAAACTGTATTGATGATATTGTTATTATTAGACAAGTTCTGAAATCTGCTAGGTCGGAATTCAAGTAAACAATACACTTGAAACCTAATACCTTACTCTGCAGATGATACATTGCAAAATTGAACTCAAGACTTTTGATATTCATACAATCATTCTTTAATTTGTAAAGGAATTGAACTTTTGCCACAAACTTAAATTTTCTAATTCCAATATCTTAGCGACCTGATGTTGTAAACATTTGATATTTCAAACTTGGATCAGGTGAGCTAACAGAATTCATAGATTGAAATATCTAAAGTCTTCGCCATCTGGTTGGGACAATATAAGGATTAGAAAATCAGAGTGTGTTACAAAACTCAATTCCTTTAAAAAAATGAATTCTCAACAAATACGTGTTGTACTAGCTGAAGTGCTCGGCGTTGCCTTGGGATTTAAAAATTCAATAGAATAAAAATCGAATATTTTTTTGCTTGTGTTAACCCATGGGCACGGGTGTCAACCATTAAAAATAAGGCCTCCGCGTAAAGTCGTCTTTAACATAAATCCCCTCATGGAGACACACCAAACCAAATAATTTTAACCTCCTTTTCTTTCTTCTCCCTTGACGGAGTCGTAAACAACCGAGAGTATTGTGAACCCATTTTCAAAAGCTAAACAAAGAATATTTTCATATAAAGAATTTGTGATCTTCGTTAATAATTAAACTGTTATTTATTACAGAAGTTTAAAACGTCTTTTAGTACTGTTCAATTATTGATAACCTGTTTCATCAGTTATTATATCGTAAGAATTTTTTCATTACAAACATTTATTATAATATTTGTCCAAGTTAACTATACATGTATTTTATTTCAGGAAATAAAGAGAATTCTTTGTTATCGATTTTTTGAGACGGGGGTTCAACATCTTTATCTATAGTTTCTTGCTATACATCCGTCAACAACGGGAAACCCATGGGTTCCCCAAAAAATTTCAGCCATTTTGGTCCAGCCGTTTAGCCAGCTACAGCTAACATATATATACAAATATTTATACATAAATGTTAGCGAAGAGCTTTATTATATGTACAAGCTAGGAATCCATCTTTGCCAAAAAAAAAAATTATCTATTAAAGAATAAAACAAAGTACCCCACTCAACATTGAATTTGTTAACCAAATTAACCATTCCAGTGAACCACGTGAATCGCGTTATTCAATCAAAGTTTGAGGCAAATCGGTCAAAAGGTTCATGAGTTATGATTACACAAACAAAAAACATACCAACAGAGATTACTACTTAATACTTTTAGCAAACAAAACACTTTGATTGCAGTCCACTTTTTCGCTAAAATTCATCTAACGCATCCTATTCCTAGTTTCTAGATGGAATCGAACCGGATGGTTCTTGTTAAAAAATTGTCTATTAATAGACGCAAAATAGAAACGGAAATTGAAAGAAAAATGTACATTAAAGAAGGAA